TTCTTCTTTCTGAACCCAAAAGAGGAAAAATATTCTGATTGCTCAAACCTAGATCTCTCAAAAAATTTGAATCTTTCGACAAAATTTAGTTTTTCTGAGAAGAATAAATCCCTCTCAAAAAAGGTTGGTCTTTCTGAACTTTAATGTCAAAAGCCCCTACCCGTCTTCTTCTCAAAAGCATGCAACAGAGGAGTCAAAACCCTCAATTTTGAACTAATTTTAGTGATAAAATTTTAGATTTTTTAATGAAGTTTACCCAGATCAATTAAGAAATCGCGTTCTGTAATTGAATCAACGATGAAGAAGACCGGTTTAGAGTCTGTGGTAGTGAAAGAAGGGCTTCATACAATTCACGTCGTAAGTTTTTCAAGATTCACACACATTTTTTTTACTTCGCCATGGACCTTATAAATTCCCTTTTCAAGAGAAGATGTTGAGAAGAAGCACAAAATTTATGCTCTAATTGATGAGAAATGAGTTCCTAAACAAAAGAATGCAAAGTTCATTACTCGCATATCTCTTTAACTAGTTATTGAACACACAATTCATATACAACTTTTCAAAACTTTGTGCTAAAAATATATGTATATATAATATATTTTTATATATGTATAATATATGTATATATATAATATATGTATATATAACATATTTCTATATATGTATAATATGTCATATGTGTGTATATATACTCTCTCTTAGTATATAAGTATATATAAGTATACTCTCTCTTATGTAAGTATATATATGTATAAGTATATATAAGTATACTTTCTCTTATCACTACAACAGACATGTCTTTTAGCGACAAATGTTTTTTCAAGAAAATTATTTTCCTCAACAAATATCACTTTCGACGAGGAAAATATTGTTTCATCGGTAAATATCAATAGGTTTTCTACGAGGAATATATTTTCCTCACAGCAGACCACCTTCTGTGATGAAAATTTTAGTTCCTCACTAAAGATGATCATGATTTGGTCTCCTAACTAGTTATTTTATTGGCGAGGAAATATGAGATTTTGGTGATGAACTTTTTCATCGCGAAATGCACATTTAACGAGGAAATAATCATTTCATCGATGTTCTTTTGGCGAAAAATAGAGGAAAACCCGCCAAATGTAACAGCGACAAAGTATGATTTCCTCGCTGAAGATCCATAATCTACGAGGAACCATTTCCTCATCAAAAGAATCAATTAGCGAGGAAATAATAGTTTCCTCATTATTAGTTTGGCGGGGAAAAAAACCCCGCCAATTTCAATGGTGACAAATTTAAGGTTTCCTCGCTAAAAGTTTTTGCTTTTACGAGGAACCATTTCCTCGTTAAAAAGAACCTATTAGCGAGAAAATTATAGTTTCCTCACCATTAAATTGGCAGAAAAATTTACAACGCCCGCCATATTTATTGACGATAAATTAAAGGTTTCCTCGCTAAATTTTTTGTTTTACGAGGAACTGTTTCCTCGTTAAAAAACCAATTAGAAATTAAAGGTTTCCTCGCTAAATTTTTTGTTTTACGAGGAACTGTTTCCTCGTTAAAAAACCAATTAGCGAGGAAATAATAGTTTCCTCATTATTAGTTTGGCAGAAAAATGTGCAAAACCCGCCAATTTTAATAGCAACAAATTTAAGGCTTCATCGCTAAAAGTTTTTGTTTTACAATGAACCGTTTGCCGTAAAAAAGAACCTATTAGCGATGAAATTATAGTTTCCTCATTATTAATTTGGCAGAAAAATATGCAACACCCACCAAATTCATTGATGACATATTGAAGGTTTCCTCACTAAATTTTTTTGTTTTACAAGCAATCCTTTCCTCGTTAAAAGAATCAATTAGTGAGGAAATAATAGTTTTCTCATTATTAGTTTGGCGAAAAAATGTGCAAAACCCGCCAAATTCAATGACGACAAATTTAAGGCTTCCTCACTAAAAGATTTTGTTTTACGAGAAATCATTTCTTTGTTAAAAAACCAATCATTGAGGAAATAATAACATCCTCATTATTCGTTGGCGAATATTTTGGTGGGAATTTGGGTAAAAAGTAGGTGGGGGTACTCAAAGAAAAGAACGGGCCTCTAATATCAATGGACTAACAAATATCCATATATAAGTCAACAATCATGGGCCATGCTAGTAGAAATCTCAACACCCTAGATGGAACATCCTAGACGATGTATTCCGTCAAGGATGTTAGGTGCCAAGGACTGGGATCCTCTACAAATGAAAACTTCCTAATATATCCTAATAATGAGATCCTGACCTTTTATTTTCATCATGGCCTTTCATTTTGCCACTCATCCTTGTGGGCCCCTCCTTAGTAAAGGATCCCAATTTAGGGTCTGTTTGTTTGCACCGAAGTAATTGTGAAGTAGCTGAAGTAAAAGAAGTAAAAGCTACTTCTGCTACTTCCAAGCAAAAAAGTATGTTTGGTTCTCTGAAAAACTTACTTCCAATACTTTTCTAAATGCTTATATGGCGCCTACATGTCATCCTTACTTCCAAAATATTTTTCCAGTCCTCAATACTCAGAAGTAGCTCGGAAGTAGTTAAAATGCATATTAATTAGGACAAAAATAAATTTTTTATTAATATTTCCTTTATTAGTTACTTCAAACAACTTTTCATTGATAACATTACTTCATAGTAATATTTCCAAATGTTATCCAAACAAAAAAAGTAAATGAAGAGGAAGAAGTTCTACTTCTATTATTTCTAAAAATATATGAAACAAACAAAAAAAATTCTATTTCCACTACTTCCTACTTCATAGCTTTGAAAGTTACTTTTATAACCTACTTCTTAATTCTAATACTTTCTAGGGCTGTTAATCGGTTTGAATGATGCGGTTAATAGGTGACACCGAACACCAAACCGATCTATTTTTGTAGGGCTGTTAATCGGTTTGAATGATGCGGTTAATAGGTGACACCGAACACCAAACCGATCTATTTTTTTGGTTCGGTTCGGTTTGGTTTTTCAAATAGGTGACACCGAACACCAAACCGATCTATTTTTTTGGTTCGGTTCGGTTTGGTTTTTCACTTATTTTCTCATAAACCAATTGTGTTCGGTTTAGTTCGGTTTGGTTTTTTCCTAGTTTATATCGGTTTTTTCGGTTATTCTATAAAGAAAACAAGTCTAGAAAAGTAGAAAGTAGAAATGTCTCATATTACATAACCATTTCCGAAAAGAAAAGAAAAGAAAAGAAATGAAAAAGGGCAGCCCACAATGCCACATAACAGTTTTCGAAAAGAAAAAAAGCGATGAAAAACTAGAATAGCAAAAACATGTAGATGATAGATCAGCACTTCAAGTTCAGCAGCAAGCTCCTCCATGACCAACATTTGGGGAAAGGGAAAGCTACAGTACTACGTGACAGAAGGGATTTCTTCGCCGGTGACGAGAGAACCCAAGATTTGGAGCCGATGGACGGGAGAACCCTAGATTTGGGGGCGATGGATGAGAGGGGACGAGACGGAGCGCGAAGGACCAAAAGCTCGTTGGGTTTGGGACTTTGGGGGGCGATGGACGAGAACTCAGATTCTCAGAAGCCCTAGAAATATAATTAAAGTCTAATGTAGTCTATTTAGTAATGTTGGAACGCAGGCCAAGGCCATCCTTTTTTTTTTTGCTTCATTTAAGCCCAAGTTTGAAGTTTCTACATAAAATTTTATGTATATTAATAATATATATCTATAAATAATATAATTTCCTTACAATATATATAATCGGTTTTTCGGTTTGGTTTCGGTTTCCAGACATCCGAAACCAAAACCACACCAAACATTTCGGTTTTCGGTTATTTTTTTACGGTTTGATGCGGTTTTTTCTTTCCTCAGTTTTTTCGGTTATGGTTCGATTTTGATGTGATTATTTTTTCGGTTATCGGTTTTCAAGTTACAACCCTAATACTTTCATTATCGAAACGGGCCCTTAGGTGCCAAAAGGCACGTCACCAAAACACCGTCAATTCCGTCTAAGATAACATCCCTGTTGTATTTTCGTTTGAGCGGGTTCCCAAATTTTCCAAACCCCGCTTCTAAAACGTTTCCCCCAAATTTTCAAAAGGCTCGTCAACAATGCTCTTCTTCATCTCAAACCCCAAATCCTTAAACCCTAGAACCTGAATTCAATGATCTGAGATAGTTCGGCGGCGACGGCAACGATGAACTCCGCTCCGCCTTCTTCGAGATCCAGCTCTTCTACGTCCGTATCTCCCCGCGCTCGATCGACACCGTTCCTTCATCCCTAACCCTAACTCATCTCCACCGTCCAATTGGAGTCTTCCTCGAGATCAACGGCTCAAAGATCCCCTCCTCCGATTAAACCTCTATCCTCCTCCGTCGCGACCGGATCGACTGCGAGACGTTGGAAGTGACCTACGTCAGCACCGACAGCGTCAAGCTCACTAGCCCCGTCGATTTCGAGGTGATCGATGATCGAGGGAACCTAATCCTTTGTGGATCGATGGAGAAGATGGAGCGGGGTGGAGCAACGGGAGTATTGGATCCAAGAAGGATCCGAAAACAGGGTGGAGCATGGACTGTTATTTGGCGGGTCGATTATTAATGGATCGGGTTTATTACAGTCGAAGTTGGGGATTGTGAATCCGTTGATTGAGGTAACAAACTTACCTGGAGATGTAGATAGCTGCTTGTTCAATTTTAATATCATCTCTTTCTCAGCAGCAATGTTTTGTGTGCATGTGTTTACATGAACATCTTTTCCACTTCAATTTGTCTCTTTTTGTTGCTTTTATGTTGAATCAGCAGCTTTCTTGCTAGTTCTTTAGTGCAATAGTTGTATATTCACATTTTGTGCAATTTGGCAATATGTCGCAGGATAGGGTACCTGCATTTTCACCTGAAAAAACAAGAACTTTCATACAAAACGAGTTGGGTGAGCCTATAGATGTATTGTTCAAACAATTTGAAGGTCGCCCTATAGCTGCGGCTAGTCTTGGTCAGGTGTTTGCATTGGA